CCCCCCCCCAAATCTCAAGAGACCCATTCAGACAAAACAATATTAAAAACAGGAAACTTACTCCTAACAGCGTGAGGCGTGGTTGCCAGGAAAGCTTTCCACACAGGCAGGAATGAGTGTTAAAAAAGAAACTCCATCCTGTAGGTTTGTTTTCTTATGTGAAAATATTAACAACTCAAAGAACTTGAAGCTACTTTGTCCTATTTGACTACTTCAGGGTGCTGCCATACCAAACCCATTTAAAAAGCCCTCAGGACACATGCAAAAATACTAAAACAGAGCTATGTGGAAAGTACTGGGGGAACTACCCACTCAGGCCCCCCTCCTGTCCCTCTCTTGGACAGGAGCTTTCTTTCTCTCAATAAATATACTCCGTTTGTTCCTAAAATTCATTCCTCGGTTCTAGAGAACATGAACTTGTGCAGGTCAGGTCCAGAGCCCTATGTCATTTGGAGGTCACCCACCTGAACAAACGGAGGTTTCACCGAGATCACTGGATGGAGACTCAAAGAGAAAAATGCCTGTCATCTATCAAGGGCCTTTAGATAAAACCTCTGAAGAATATATCTGACTGCCAGTCAACAACTATGACCCATTTCAGCGTGAAGAAGCCAGCGTGGTCATCGCTCATATTTCCCTCACAGCAGTTCCGGTTACTTCTTCAGAGGGGGGAATGTTATAGGTAGCCAAATTAGATAAAAATGTTAATAGGCAGTCAGACAGGGCCAGGCCCTTAAAGGAGACAGCACAAAAGACAAGCTACCCTGCAACTGTGGGAGGGACAGATGCTCCTGCTGTGAGCCAGACCTAAAAGACCTAAAGGCCAAACAAATGCTAAAAGAGTAGCACCTGAGATTGATATTCTAAATAGGTAGCGATAACCTAGAAAGACCCAAGTGAGTCACTAGTCACTAGCCCAACCCCCAACAGGAAAAGACCCTGTCCCATATTCATGCCCACTTGCTATGTGACTCACTTTCCCATTTGTTGAAAAACCCCTGAGATTTTTTTTTTTTTTTTTTTTTTTGGCAGAACCGGGGATTGAACTCATATCCTGGCGTTTGCCTGTCAAGCGCTTATCCTACTGAGCCATCTCCCCGGTCCGCTTTCCCATTTGATACTGGATTTAATCAGTTTTACCTGAGCCATTAATGGTGCTTGTAATCCCATTGGTTGACCATATTTTTGTCCCACCTCCTGCCCACCTAAGCGATTTCCCATTCTCTACCTTAGCCCCACATGGTTTTACACTGTAAAAGTCCCTGGAAGAGACAGCTTCCCGGGGAACTACCCATTCGGGCCCCCCTCCTGTCCCTCTCTTGGAGAGCTCTCTTTCTCTCAATAAATATACTCTGCTCATAAAAAAAAAAGAAAGAAAGAAAGAAAGAAAGAAAGAAAGAAAGAAAGAAAGTTAGTTCTGACTTGGGGGCCGGGGAGATGGCTTAGTAGAATAAGCCCATGCCAGCCAAGGGCCTGAGTTCAATCCCTGGTTCCGCCACACACACACAAAGAAGTACTGATCTGGTAATTGTAATCTTGTCTGAAGTTGAAGTATGTGGAAATTAGTGCAGGCAAGAGAATAGCCATAATTTTATTCAACACATCTATTGTGAGCATTCTGGACCAAGTCCATAGATTATGTATTCATTTATTCAGTAAGGGTCATTGTGTGCTTTGTGTTATGCATGGGTGCCATTTGCTAGCCTGAGATTTGTGCTAGTCCCTCTTTTGAAACTCCTCAGAGATTCACTAGAGTTTTTTTTGTTTTTGTTTTTGTTTTTTTTGCAGAACCGGGGATTGAACTCAGATCCTTGCGTTTGCCAGTCAAGCGCTTATCCTACTGAGCCATCTCCCCGGCCCCTATTCACTAGAGTTTGCTTGTGATAGACTAGGGCATTCCGAGATACACGGGTCTGAATCCTGGGACTTCTCTTTTTCATGCTTTCCTGCAAAAGATTAGTGGGGGAGAGCAAGGATCATTTTGGAAAAAGAGAGTGAGTGGGTACGTACAGAGAGGCTAAAAACTAGAGATAAAAAAGAGCCAGATGTGGTATACACACCTTGTACCCCATAGCTCAGGAGGTGGAGGCAAGAGGATTGTCATGATTTGAGGCCAACCTGAACTACATAGTGGGTTGAAGATCAGCTTGTGCTACATAGTGAAATCCTAAAAAAAACCAACTAGGGAGGAAATATGTTTTTCTTCCTTAGTGATGTCATTCTGCCCAAGCAAGTCTAGTGCTAAAGGTAAAGCCCTTAGAACATTGCTAAAAAAAGAGAAAAGAACATTGCTAAAGTCCTGTCTGTAGCTCGGCTCACATGCTGTATTGTGAAAATACAACGTCATGTGTATTGCAGCAAAATATACCGTGTGGTTAGAAATTTTTTTTCTTCCTGAAGTGCTGGGAATCAAACCCAGAGTTCTACAGACTGCTAAAGTCTCTACTGATGTGTTAATCTCTTGAGTATTAAGAGAGAACATATAGGGCTGGGGAGATAGCTTGGCAGTCTAAGTGTCTGCTGGGCAAGCACAATGACCTGGGTTTGATCTCTGGTATCATATGCTATGCTAGCTTTTCACCGAAACTGGGTGCGGTGGTGAATACCTGTAATCCTAATGCTGGGGAGGCTGAGACAGGAGGATCACTATGAGTCTGAACTGTGTAGCATGACATTGTACCAAATAAATAAATACATAAGTAAAATATTTTTAAAAAACAACAACCAAAAAGAGGACAAATAGACCAAACAGCCCTGACAGCCTCCCTTTCCAACCTTTTTATGATTTCAGAGATTGTTGTGTCCTTGAATGACCTTTTTCCTAGATCCAAGGCCCAAAGTGATGCCTTTCTCTCTTTATTTCTGTTTATATTGTGCTTTATTTATTTATTTTTTTATGCAGGCCTTTTTTCCCTCTGTATTTCAGTGACCATTAATGACCTAATGGTCATTTGGTCAATCCTGCTTTATCTGTATTCCCATTCACTTTCTCTTATCCTGTATTGTTTTGATGCTAACTCTAGATGTCACCTCTATTCATCTATAAATATTTTAGTGTATAGCCCTAAAAGATAAGTAATATTTTTTTTAAAAAATCTTGGTTACTTTTCTTTCATTGTGGGGACAAAATATTGAATACCCAAAATTAAGGAAGTAAAGATTTATTTAGGTCAGAGTTTGTGAGGTTTCAGTCCATACTTGGCTAGCTCCAAAGCAGAGGGCCACATGGCAGAGAGAGCAGCAGTTCATGGCAGTAGAAAACAGCAAAGACAAAGGCAATAGGAGCACGGCAGCAGTGGCAACAGAGAGCAAGTCTGTCTCCTTTATGTTGTATTCAGGCTGTCCACCCCAGGCTGGGTGTAGCACTCACACCCATAATCCCAGCAGCATTTACACCCTAATGCCTCCATTGGATCATGAATTAATCACCAACTTTAGAAGTCTGCCCCATAACTGCATGAGGCTTTGGGGGGGACAACTAAACCCCACAAAATTATTATCACATTTAAATAATAACAGTAGTTCCTTAATATAGAAAATCCAGTCAGTTTTGATTATTTTGTTCATTTTTAGTATAATTGTATATAGCAGTAGGCCAATGCAGTTACGTTGTTTTGTTTTGTTTTTATTTTGTTTTATTTTGAATCTCTAACACTGCACGGAGATGTCCTAGTAAAAATTATAGGGGAGGCTTTTTACCCCCTTTGCGGCTAGGTGATCTTGAACTCAATATGTAGCCCCGACTGGCCTCCAACTCTTGGTGATCCATCTGCCTAACAGCCATGTGCCATTGTACCTGGCTAATTTGCATTTTTTGAATAACCAGCAGTGTTGAACATTTTTAAATGTATTTATTGGCCAAGTGTACTCTTTATTAGATGCCTTTAAAAAAAATTAGCTCAACAGATTAAAGACCTGCTTAGGCAGACACAGGGGCCGGGGAGTTTGATCCCTGGGCCTGCCATGCCGGCCCCACCCCCGGGGCACACTGAGTTTGCAATTGAGACTGGACGTACCTGTAATCCCAGTACTTGGGAGACTGTAAACAGGAGGATCATTACAAGTCTGATCTACTCAGTGAGACCCTGAACACCCTGTACACCCTGTCCTAAAATACAAAAACAAACAAAAAAAAACTTTTTTAAAAAATGATCTCACTTGTATTAACTTCTGAAAGTTTATAGCAGCTAAAGTATTTTTGCTTGTATGTATGAAGATTTAAAAAAAATCGTTTTTTGGATAAAATACAAGAGCAACCAATTTCACCATCAAGTAAAAGTAAAAACTGGGATTCTTTTTCAAATTAGTCCAGAGTGGCATTTAGGAGCGTAGTTGTAGGCTGCTGTGCTGACCTCATGTCAAGCCAAAGAATAGGGCTGGGTCTGGTTTGGTTTCGGTTTTCTTTTCAGTATCCAGTGCTCACAGATTATGTTCTGGAAATGTTCCAATTGTAAGGCAGGGATCTGTTTGGATTCCTCCACAGGTATACTCCTTGGGTTGGATGCTGGAGGGTGAGGTACATTTTGCTGGACCCATGTTAACTACCTAGTTGTCATCAAGGTAAAAAATTCATCGTCTCCTCCTTGGTATTCCATTCCCTGGAAATCTTACTCGGTACTGCAAGATACTCACAATCCCACCAAATCCTTTCACAAACTGGGATCCTTCTTGTGACTTATCTGTGACAATTTCCAGTGTAGCTCCAAATTTTTTATTGTTGTTAGCAAACCATTCCAAAAGGGGCATGCTTTCAATCAGCTCATGTTCCTGCCATTTCTCTTTATTTGTAAAATGAAATTTATCCTTCTCTTGTTCTGGAGTGGAATAGAGAATTTTCTCCTCTTCTGTGCCTTGGCAATGAAGAATATATCTCATTCTATCCAGATTTTCATAGACTATTAGAACCTCTACAGTTCCTATTTACAAAGCTTTTAGTGTATCTTCACCTCCAAAACAGTACTTGCCTGTGTCCTGGCTAATTTCATGAAAATATCATCCTAAATAATATGGAACACTTCATGAATTTCTGTGTCATCCTTGCACAGGGGCCATGCTAATCTTCTCCGTATCGTTCCAGTTTTAGTACTTGCGCTGCTGAAGTGAGCACAGAAAAACTTCTATTTATTTGGTACAGGGTCTCACTATGCAGCTTGGACTCATAGTGATCTCCTGTCTCAGCTGATCTTGCCTTATAGTAGAAGCAGCCCTTTGAACTCACAATGATCCTTCTGCCCTAGGCTCCTTAGTGCTGGGATTACAGGTGTGTGCCGCCACGCCCTGGCAGATGCTCATTTTATGATTGTGTCTTTAAATTTGAGGTGGGGGGAGCTAATTCTTTTGAGCTGTTTATATTTCTAGATAGTAGTCCTTATCTGAAGAGTGGGTGGCAACATTTTTCCCCATTCTATAGGTTGTTTCTTCATGGTAGTTTCCTTGACTGTTGCAGCTTTTCAAATTGATGTGATCCCATTTACTGATTTTTTTTTTTTTAATGTATTTAATACAGGGCCTACATGGTCTTCCTACACAGATTGGACTCATAGTGATCCTCCTGTTTTTAGCCTCCCAAACTCCGGGATTACAAGTGCATGCCACCACGCCCAGTCTCATTCAGTGTCTCATTGTGCCTCGGAGGTGGGGCCGGCATGCACCCTGGGGATTGAACCCTGGTCCCTGTGTCTGTTTAAGCAGGTGCTTTAATCAGCTGAGCTATTTGGCTGGCCTGATTCTTGATATTTCTTGTACAACCAGTGTTCTCCTTCAGAAAGTCTTTGCCTACAAAGTCTTTTTCAAGAATTTATCTTTCGGGGATGGGGAGATGGCTCAGTACAATAAGTGCTTCCCTGGCAAGTGCAAGGTCCTGAGTTCAAACCCC